TTTAAAAAGGTATATTGTTGCTAAATAATAGATTTTTTTTAATTAAAATATTTGACAGATCATGGTAACTCGTGAAGCAACATCTCAGAATTGAATCGGGGAACGAGGAATCAAAAAAAGGTTAACAATTTGGATCATTTTGGAAGATACATACGCCGCGCTTTTCAAAGCGGACAGACGTGCCCTTGTCCAACTGAAACGAACACACGTGTCCTGTTGAACTTGAAAAAAGACGAAATTATTTTAAAAAGGTATATTGTTGCTAAATAATAGATTTTTTTTTAATTAAAATATTTGACAGATCATGGTAACTCGTGAAGCAACATCTCAGAATTGAATCGGGGAGTTGTGTATTTGCTGGCAATCCGGGCCTGCTTGGATCATTTTGGAAGATACATACGCCTGCGCTTTTCAAAGCGGACAGACGTGCCCGTGTCCCACTTGACAAAGGCGGAATTATTTTAGGAAAGGTATATTATTTGTAAAAAAAAAATATACAATTTTTAAGTAACATATTTGACAGACCATGGCAACTAGTAAAGCAGAATCCGAGAATTCAATCGGCGGCTGTATGTTGACTGACAAGAATATAATTGCTGTTAATCCGGCCCTGCTTCTTGTACAAATGCATAGTGGGGAGACATGAACATTTTTCGAAATTGCGGCCCTATCCTCTTGGGATTCTACGTTGGACAAATTCTGAAAACGACCCAGAAATATAATTGGTGAGAAAATAGTTTTTTTTGTTGTGTTAACAGTTAACAATTTTTTTATTTTGGAAATAAGGGGTTTCAGTGTGTACTGGTAATAGTGAATCAATTTAATGACCTCAGCATCTCTAAACCCCCATCTTGAGACGCGTTAACGATCCGGATCGAGTTACGTCGGGTAATTGTGTCACTTTTTTAATTAAAAAATGAAAGAGATGTACCTACCATACTTTAGAAACCCCTACTCCCCTTTGGAGGTGATGAAATAAGTTTTGGCATAAAATATAAGTTCCTCGTATTACTTTGATATAAGTATAAGTCTTGCCTGTTTTTTTTTTTAAAAGGAGGTTCAAACCCGTGCGAGGTGAGGTTTGATATATGAAACAGACCAGTCATGGGGACACGAGATATGGAAAGTTTCAGCGTAGTCGTCGCCACATTGCTGCCAACACTGCATATATAAGGAATCACGAACCATTCAGGTAAAATTTTGAAAACACATATTTATGGCAATATAGAACCTCTCTTTTTTTTTAACAGGAATATTGAGACTTAGACCAGTATCTTTTTAAGTAGGCATGTGGGGTAAAGAAGACGCAGAAGCTTCAGTCGGGTACCATCGGTAACGTAGGCGATTGATATATTTCCACCACTACATATGTTGGATTGGAATTTCCCATTTGATGCTTTGACTGACTAAATGAGGAAACTTGGAGGTAAGCTCTTACGGAATTCTATCGAAATATGTTTAGTAACATATTGGTGCATTACTCTGTCTTCCAGTCAGTTTCACATAAACTTTGCACGTATTATAGAAATGCCCTACTACCTACTACTTTTTTTGTGTTAATATTATTGAAAGTAGTAGCTGGTAGCTGTAGTCGTAAGCCCAGAGAGTCTCTGTTTTGAACATAATACACAAAATTGGGCGTTCAAAAACAATAGACTGAATGCCTTTTAGAGTCGGCGTAAACTATGGTCATATACCCCTGATCAAATTCAAAACTACAAAATCGTTGTGTCTCTGCATTAAAAAATAATAGTAAAATTTATTGTAGGCACCTAGTAGAGTATCGAAAATTTCCATTTTTAGTGCCAAATTGGTTACTCCAGTAAATTCCAACTGTTCTAATTTTTTTTTTTAATAATTTATGATGTTAGTGAGTTTCATTGCAATTATTTGTTACTTAAATTTTCTGCGTATTAAACCATAATTAACAATACGCTATTCGTTAACGCAGGTAGAATTAATGACGCTGACTGACCTGATTTTGTCCAGGGGGGCGTAGTACGGTAGTTTGTACTGTGATGTTTGGTAGTTTGGCAGTGAGCTCTCATTTATGAAACTGGGGAATGTTTCGTTATCTTCAAATCGTAAACACGTATCATTAGAATTATATTTTTAAAATATTGATTAGGACATGTACTAAGTAACTAAATGCTCTAGCGAAAATATTCACACATATTGCGGAAAACGTACAAATTTAAATTAGAGAAAATTAACTATTTTTAGAGGTTGGTTTTTCAAAAAGGTGGGGATTTAGTTAAAGAACAGATAGAGACTAAAGGGAAGCTCTATGAGAAAAGTTAGAATTAAAAAGTCGATGTTTTCGTGTCATAGCGAAAGATGGATTATTATTAAAAATAATACTTGCATTAATTGTTGTCACCATTTGTGAAAAATATGGAAAATATCCTCTAGGTTCGCATACCTTTTTTTAAATTTTTTTAAGGTGGCTAACAAAATACACAGACAGAAAAGTTTAGATCCTGTTCGTTAATGTAGCGCATAGAAAAAAATTAGAAAAGAGAACGTTTCGTGTATGGCATACGTAGTTAGTACGGAATATTAATCTGAAGGCTGCAAGACAGTGAAAGAGTGATGCGCTTAAGTGTGGTTCAGAGGGGTTATTTGGGCTGTAGAAGTTTTTCTTTGAACAGGGTTCAAATAGCGTCTCCTAGAGCGTTAGCAGAGAAGAGTATTACAGTATTTAATATAAGCGTCCAGATTTCATTATTGTTGAGATTGCATAGAAACACACTTTCATGTAGTAGTCGCAGCAGCTTTAAAGTATATGACTTTTTAGTTAAGATGCCTTTCGAGTTTGCTTTATGGCTTGATAGGAAATTAAAGGGTAGATACAGATAAGTTACGAAAAAAAGTATGTACACTATCCTCAAAGATCAGCAATAAATAAAAGAAATTGATGAAATAGTAAAGTTGACTGCGATATCTTAAAATCATCAATAAGATAGATAAATTAAATTAATTTTGAAAATATTAAATAATAAAAACAAATAATAAAAATAGCAAAGAAAATCAAAATCATCAATAAGATAGACAAATTAATTTTGTAAATATTAAATAATAAAAATAAAATTATAATAGTAAAGAAAGCCTACCACGGCCACATACACATAATATTTTCGACATATGAACTTTTCCCAGATAAATAGTCAAATATTTCACGATACCTTAAAACAGAAGCATGCGGAAATATGTATGAAGTTAACGCACGGTAGATTGCTTAGTAAATTAAAAAGGTATATGGTTTCTAATATCCTACTTTATTAATGAAAATTTTAACCAGCTTTTTGTTTTGCAGATATTATTGGTGGTGCCTGCCAGCTTCCAGTTCCGAGAAAAGAAATCCAACACTTTTCGTCTTTATTTCCCCTGTCCTTTGTGCGCAATAAAAGTACAGTTTGTACCCGCGTGGGTACACATTCGCAGAACTATATGTTTTTAAAATAAATGTTTTGGTCAATATTCACTAGGTGGGGTTACCTTATTAAAGAAAATCTTATTCCAAGAGGGTACACTAGTTTACATTCGAACCGCTAGAGGGTGCAGATGGTCACGCGAACAATATGATCAAGTCTCATTGACGCCATTGCTTTTCTTAGGGGTGGGAAAATATCTGGGCTCTGATTGGCTTCGCCGCCATCGCAAACTAGAGGTGGGGAGATTGATTAAACCGCATTTCTGGTTGCTTATCCAATGGGGGCCAGTTTCAAGGGATTATGGGTAAAGGCGGAGGAGCTAGAGAGTCGTGGGGAAGGAGGACACGCCCACAAAAGGGAGAGGAGTGGGGGAAGCCTATATTGTACTTATTCACTACTAACGTGAAACAAGCAAGTCATAAGCTTAAACAAAAGAGGACGAATGGGTTCACAGTGACGAACACATTTTTTTATTTACCTCTGCTGCCTAGAATTCGCAATATAATATTCACACATAAAGAATTTAATACGTTATATATATGTGAAAAAAATTAAGACCTGTAGAAAATTCATGAACAAAATAACGGACTGCTAGTGTGCAACTGCGAAAACATTGCCTTTGCAAAAAAATTGTATATATATTTTGCTGACATTTGTCAATGCTGCAAATGTTTATCAGCACCAATAGATATATAAATATATAATATATAAATATAAATAGATTTTTTTAAGTATTTGTAAAAATTAGTATGCCAACTTTTGAAAAACCGTACAAATTAATATGTTTAGAAATTTTAAATATCGCAGAAACTAGCAATATTTATTTTTTCAGGAGAAATATTTTAAAGAAATATGTTAGTATTTATTATTCATTTGTATGTATTTTTATTATTTTATTATTTTTATTTAATAATATTCATCTTTTTTTTTATCTACAATATACAATATCTACAAAAATATATTATCATGTGATACAAATGATAAAATCTAATATTTTATATTAAGTTATATCACAATCACGTAGTTCAAAGAGTGATTTAACATTGAAAAGCTTAAATAAATGGAAAAATTAAGAAATAATATAAAATGATCTCTTTTTTACACTCATTTGTCATAAATATAAACATTTATGGTAAAAAAAAAAACCTACCCATTATTATCTGTCTTCCTTCTAGTTTAGATCAAGTATGTTATACTAACATAGATTCAACTTATTTCTAAGATTGAAAGCGTTTAGTTTTAAAATGGCATTTGCGCTTTACACTAGAATTCAGCAAAAATACAAAAAAAGTCTATCTTCGCAACGAAGGGACCGATATCGGTCATCTTTGGTTTCAATCTCGCTAAGTTATCCGAAAAAAAATAACCCAAACGAGATCAAGTGACCGAAGAAAAGGACAAGTCGGCCCGTAAAAAGTTAAGGGGGCCAAACCAGAGAAATTCGTCTGCAGACACACACCCTTCGGCATGGTTAGCTGGCTTGTAAAAATGCCCGTCTCCCCACCTTACGTTCTTCAACAGGTGAACCCGGTTTACCTGTAGCTTGCTCAGTACGCGAGTGGAATCTGACAAGTGGCGAACACTGCACGATACTACCTACACGATAAAGTGAGCGAGCGCTTTGGTGCGGTACCGCTTTCGATAGTGAGCTTTTACGAAGTTTGTGTTTCTTTCCGATGAACGGCTGCTTCGCGTTGGATACCATTCCGTTGGTGGATTGTTAAAACTGCGGTACGTATTTAGGCTCCATATTGGGACCTTTGGTATTCATTATTTACATCTTTGGTAAATCTTTTTATTAAAACAAAAATCAATTCTAACTAGTACTGCTAATATGCGGTTTTCTTAATATAATTAAGATTTCCACCAAATCACAACAAAAAACGGCAGCACAGTAAAATTATTTTAGATAATACTGGATGATGGGTACATAGCAAGCAAATTACTTAGGCTACGAGGTGTTGATAAAAACACCCTTGTAATCATTTATTATGCAGTTTTTAACTGACACATATCATATGGTATACAGAGTGTCCAGTATAAGATAATGTACATGGAGATATTGGAAACAGCGCCGCTTAAATGGAAGAAAAGCAGCGTATGTATAAACCAAAAAATAATCTAGCTTTGTTTTATTTTATATCGATGCCCTTACATAGATACTGGGTGAAAAAGGAAAATACCCATTTTTGAAAAATCACGATATTTTCCTCATTATGTGTAACTGGAATGTTTAATTTTTTAGGATATTGTTAAAAAATACTTCGCTGCTAAAAATGCCGTCAAACAAAAATTAGGCTTGCTTACTGCTCAAGTCCGCTTTTCGCTTTCTTATGGGCGCCATGTTGAATTTATACGTTTACAATATCCTCTATAAACATGTGTAACATATTTATGTTTGGGCAAGATAAATCCGGAAAAAAACGAAAATAAGATTTCAGGATAGTAGGTTTTGATGTCGCTGCGTTTATTTTCCATCAAGTTGATCGTGCCAGCGAATTTCAGGCGATTCGTAATTATTGTCAACAGTCAGTCAGTCAGTGTCAGTTATGTGAATAAATTGTGGATTTTAAAATGAATTACTTTTCGAATAGTGAAAAGTATGATATGTTGGAGTGTTTTATTCTATACCGTAGAAACGAAGCAAAAGCCGAAGAAAGGGTAGATCTATGTTTAGGCGTCTGAAAGACAACCTTGTAAACTACGGGGTTTTGGTAAGATTAAAAGGAACAAGCTACCAAATGAAAATAAATAACTTTGTCTTACAAAGCTTGGTTGACACACCTCGTATATCTTTACGTCAAGAGCGTGTAGTGTTTTAAAGCGTCATAGATATCATCCTTATCGTGAACGGATTTTCCAGGGACTTCAGGAGGGCGATACTATTAGAAGAATGGCATTGTGCCAGTGGTTTATTCAGAAAAATAACGAAATATTACTTTATTTCATATTCTTTAATCTACTTCTTGTTTTTATAGTTCGTGCCTTGTGTAATATATGGGTGGTTATGTTTATATATTCCTCTTTCGAAAGAATTTGTTACTTACATTTATACATATTTAAGTTTCGCTGAATATTCTAGGGGATAGTAGCTGTTGGCCTACCGCGTTCTTGGCATACAGCGTATGTCACGGATTTTCAATTTTCATATTCAATATTGGATGTTTTCCAAAATAATGCACTTTAAAGAAAACATGAAATCAAAAAGATGAAATAATGAAAAATAAAAAGATATTATTAGAAGAATATTGGTTATGTATGACCGTCAGTTGAGTTCAAATAACTCCAGTCATGTAGGAAGTTGTGCTTAGATTGGCAAACGCATTGTGAATAAAGTTCAATAATTCCTCTACGGTATGGTACATTAGTTTATTCATAAGGACAAAAAGACGAAAATCCAAGTGTGTGCAATTGAGCAATCTGGCAGACCAGTTCTAGACTCCATTATATAAATATTGACATGGATAAAGTCAGCAACATATTTGAAACGATCTTAAAATCAATAATAATAATAATAATAATCAGAAAACACTTTTAAATTTGATTGAATCAAAATTAAAATACGGAGCGGGTGTGACGCATCAACGACGGTTAACATCAAGTGATGCAAATTTTGTTCGTTAAGTTAATCCTCTAAGAGGTCCACCATGTTAATATTGGAATTCGCGGATAGCTAGTCAAGGTCGCACACTTCCGGTTAAACATGGCCATTACCTAATCTGAATTTTGGAGATCGAAGAATTCTTGCGAAATGATACGCATCATGGCTAACGCGATACTTGTCTTCCTCGCGATGAACTTACTTTATAACCAAGATCCAGTCAAATTTTGAGAAGAGAGAGTGACAAAAGTGATTCTGTAATTTTAATATGATTCTTAATTAATTTATTATACCTACCTAGTTTCTAAAGGAAATACGTTTGAAATTTTTGAAATTGTTCCCTTTAAAATAAGAAACAAAATAAGAACGGTCAAAATGGACTTTATGAGAGACGTCCACAAGTCACAAGAACTGACAAAATAAGAACTGCAGAAATTTGACAACGAATGGGAATAGAATGCTCGATAACAAGGAAATTAGAAAACAGACCATTACAATGGTATGGTCACGTACAAAGAATGGCAGAACGCAGGTGGCCAAAACGAGTACTGGAATGGGAAACTCCAAGGAGAAGACAAAGACGACGGTCAGCACTAAAATGGGAGACATACATTGGACATGCGATGATGGATAGAGATCTGAGAGTAGCTTACTGGAAGAGAACTGTGGAGCATAAAAACGGCGAACTCGTAAAGGAAAACGCCGAAGAAGAAGAATAAAATTCGAAATTAATTAATTAAAATTTATTAGTTCAGCTCTTCTAAATTTTAAAACATTGCAAACCTTAGAAAAAAATATTTAAACTCTTTTTAACCAAAAGATTATTTAGCTTTTATAATTGACAATTTTTAAAAAATTATTACAATAATATTAAATATTCTTGACACTGATTGAATAGTGAATTTAACAAAGATCACACAATAGTGAATTTAACAAAGATCACACAAAGGCTGCGTGCCATATGTCTCCAATATACTTTATTAAATTGACATATATATCCTTTGCGCGACCTTAAGTTTTAATCATGATCAATGAGGTCATGACCATTTTCTATTTGTTTTCTTTCTACAAATATTTGTACTGGATCGAACTCAGATGATATATCGTAAGGTAAAGAAACAGAATATGTCAAAGAATAAACAATGGGGAGAAATTTAAAAGCAAATTTAAAACATGTACAATGTATTCAAAGTTAAGCTGATGCAGAGTAGAAATTACGACGTTTCTTAGTAAATTAAATGGATTTTTTTTTTAGATTTTTGCTCAAAAGTACAATTTATTTACCTATAACTTCGTATTTCCCGGGTCGATACTTTCAATTTTGTTTTGAATCTATTGCAATAACAATAACTTTGGATGATAACAAAAAACTAAAAACACATTAATGTTTTTCTATTCTTGAGAAGTGCCATGAAAATTACAATAAATTATGTAGATTTTGAGGCTCTATATTTTTCAATTAAAATCATCACAGTGCTCTACTTTGCAGAACACATGAAACAGTTAAAAAGCGGACGCACGGGAGAACATGCGAAAAGCTATGTCCGTGGGAACAACGATAACACACTGCAATTGAATTAACAAATAAATTGCTGATATAATTAGATGTTCTGAAACGAACCAATTGTACATTTCTCGCGTTATAATAATATATTAACTTCGATTTACATTGTCCTCTTGCTTGTTAAATTGTGGAGATTAATTGAGAATATTGGTCTTAGAAACAGGTGCTCGTCGGCCTTAAGCCACGCGAGAAAAACATTTGAAGGCAACAAAAGAAAACGACTCTGCAAGCACTTTCATACGTATTAGTGTTTATAATTTAAAGTATTTCATTTGCTAACTTGGACGAATTTACATTTAAAATTGGTCAAACTACGTGGATTAATTTTTCATAATCTGATATGACTTTCGCACTTAATTAAAAAAAAACAACTATAAGGACTGCAGCTTACATACGGATTTTTAAGGACTCAACATTTACAGATAAATGTGAGTCAGGAACCTAAACTAATACATATACAGGGTGCGGCAAAAAGGTAGACAGGATTTCAAATAGTGGTCGTTCGGTTTGTAAAACCGGCAACACTGTGTACGCACTCGCGTTAGGCAGACAAAAGTATGCAATTTTGAGTTATCGACATGGCTTGGAGTGGAGTGCATCGTGCTTTCGTTCTCGAGGAGTTTATTAGAAATGGGGAATCTGTAATAGCGACGCAGCGCGCCGTTCGTAAGCAGTAATCAGCATATAGTCCACAGGAACTTCATGAGCGACCTCTTCACAGTCCAAAAGCCATCGTTTGGTGTGCCATCTCGAAATTCGGCGTGTGGGGTCCTTACTTTTTCGAAGAAGATGTAATAACGGTAACAGTCAACGGAGATCGATATTTTAATATGCTTAACAATTTCCTGCGTGCAAAAGTGAACGAGTTGAACAATGATCGAAGAGAACATCTTTGGTTCCAGCAGGATGATGCTACATCGCACACAACGCGTCGTTCACTAAATCTTCTTTAAGAAATGTTCCTAAACAAAGTGGTGTCTTTACGAGGTGATCTTGGCTGGCCGTCATGTTCGCCTGATTTGTCGCCTTGCGACTTTTTTCTTTGGGGTTACCTGAAAGCGAGAGTTTTCACACATCGTCCGCGGACTTTGGGGAAGAATTAAAGGCAGCCATAAGTCAAGAAATTTCCTCAATTCCAAAAGAAATGATACATGGGTTAATGATGCGCTTCCGCGAGAACCTACAATAGTGCATCGACAATAATGGTCGTCATTTAAAAGATATCATTTTAAAAAAATATTTGCTTTATGTAGTTTGGTTTTTATTAACATCCCAAATAGTACCTATCATTTTGCCGCACCCTGTATTATTCTTCCTTTTTGTTTCAGATTTTCTTCTATATTTATCATTCAACTTGAAAAATTTAAGTTTTACATTAAAAAAAGGACCAAGGACCTGAAAACAGGCCAGTCCACTAGTATCGAGTGTCGAATTAACAAAATATCCATTAGTATTTACCGTGGAATAGTTGAGTTGAGACAAACGGAATGTTTTTTTTCTAACGCTATCAATTGTGGCGGATCGACAAATTCTCGTAAATAAAACATACCATCAGGGTCGACTTTA